GGTTGCTGTGAGGTACCAGTGGGGGACGTGGTACGATGGAGTCGGCGTCTGGTTGGCGTGAGGTACCAGTGGGGGACGTGGTACGATGGAGTCGGCGCCTGGTTGCCGTGAGGTACCAGTGGGGGATGCAGTGCGGGGGGAGTCGGCGCCTGGTTGGCGTGAGGTACCAGTGGGGGACGTGCTACGATGGAGTCGGCGCCTGGTTGCCGTGAGGTACCAGTGGGGGACGTGGTACGATGGAGTCGGCGCCTGGTTGGCGTGAGGTACCAGTGGGGAACGCAGTGTGAGGGAGTCGGCGCCTGGTTGCTGTGAGGTACCAGTGGGGAACGCAGTGCGAGGGAGTCGGCGCCTGGTTGGCGTGAGGTACCAGTGGGGAACGCAGTGCGGGGGAAGTCGGCGCCTGGTTGGCGTGAGGTACCAGTGGGGGATGCAGTGCGAGGGAGTCGGCGCCTGGTTGGCGTGAGGTACCAGTGGGGGATGCAGTGCGAGGGAGTCGGCGCCTGGTTGCCGTGAGGTACCAGGGCGGTTTGCGGCCTGACTTAGTTGGGAGTCCCCAATGGGGTGAAGCGTTGGAGCCAAGTTAAAATCATAGAGTTCTTGGTCCTCCAGTTCCTAGAGAGGCCTTTAGCCTAACGCCCGGTAAGACGCTGCGCGGGGCCCCTCTCACCCCATTTCTCCCCTGTGGGTGCTGCTAGTACCTGTGCTTCCCTCGCCATCGTCCTGGGGAGCGTCAGCCCCTGGCGGGGTCTCTGCGCGCTGGTTATCAGGGCCACAAGGCAGCCGCCATGTTGTCTTCTCCCCCTTCAGTCTCCATAGCAACAGGGACGCTCCCGAGGGCTCTAACAGATCAGGCCACGCAAAAAACTACGTATCCCGGGGTGCGCCGGGGCGCGCGCTTCCGGTCATGTGCCCCAAGCGGCGGAAGCTGTAGTTTTCTTTGGAGGCAGACGTGCTAGAAATCCCGTCAGCCCCTGCGCGGCTGCTCTGCGCAGCCAATCGCCGGCGCACAGGTCGCCCCGAGCCGCGGGAGGGGGCGGGGTGGAGGGAGGAGAGAAGATGGCGGCGAAGGGCGGCAAGAACGGGCTGCTGGAGAAGGTAGCGGGCTGGGGGAGGGGAAGCGGGCTCGGGGCGCCCCGCTGCTGGGACCAGGGGCCTTTGGCTCAGGCGCTGCAGCCCGGGGTCAGGCCCCTCCCCTCGGGGGGCCTCTGTGGCCATCGGCGGGGGACACCCGGAACTGATCCCTGCCCCCCCCCGCCCAGAGCCGCCTGTACATCCCCCCCAGTACCCCCGTCACTGGGTGCAGGCTGGTCCCTGCTCCTCCACCCCAGCCATCTCCTGTGTGCCCCCAGGGATCCCCCTCACTGATCACAGGTTGATCCTGGTGCACTCTCTCCCCTTTGAACCCTGAGGTGGGAGCCCTGGCCCCTTAGAGCATTACCTCCATGAGCCCTGGTATAGGGGCACAGGCATCCATCTGGTGCTGGTTCCGTGACCCTCGGCACAGGAGTTCTGGCACCCCCACAGAAGAACATCCTTCACACCCTGTATCTGAGTGTCGAGAGACCTCTACATGGCTCTCTCCCCATGAGTATAGAAGCAGGGCTTTTTGCACCCATATGTGCTCCCCTTTCCCCACTTTGAATATAGGAGGGGGGCTCTTTGGTCCGATAAGGCTTCCTCACCTATGTACATTGAAATGGTGATTTTGGCATGTATATGCCACATGTGAGCATTGAAACAGGGCTCTCTGCTCAAGCAAGCCCTCTGCTGCCAACATCACATCTAGCAATTCACATGCTCCTCTCCAGGCACTCTTTAGTACCAGCCCTGCTTCACGGAGCATTTTGCTATCGGAATCTACGCCGCACAGAGGTGTGGTTCTGTAAATGCACATTTGAAATAATGGACAGCTGTAACTGGTCCCTCTGCTTTGTTCCTTTTCGGTGTTGTCTCTTTGCCTGGCATGTGCAGCATATGGTAGGAAGTAAAATGCAGAAGTAACAAAACATAGGAAACTAAGGCCGGTCTACACTAGGAGCATATTGCTGGTACAGCTATACAAGATCAGCAAAGTGCTCCTAGTATGACTTCAGCTTGTGTCAGCATTGCTTATTCCAAATGCCCACCACCACCACCACCTTACTCGGAGCAAAATAAGCTCTGCTGGCAAAAGTGCGAGTTTTGCTGGTATAAGCGATGTCCACAATAGGGGCTTTTACTGGCACGGTTTTGTCAATTACAGATTGTACCTCATTGTACTCCTGACAGACATAGCTATACTGGGAAAAGTTTGTAGTGTAGATCTGGCCTAATGCATATGGTTATTAATATGAAGTGAGTTTGGTGATCTCAGCCCAGTTTTGAAGGGCAAGGTGTTTGCCTCTTTATTTCTCCCTTTCTCTGCACCAGCTTTGACTTTGGCCTGGAATGGGACAATCGAATTTGAGATCAAGATATCCTGTAGGCTGTAGGCTTTTAGAGCTGCAGTCATCTCTTAAAAACACTTGTGTTAACTGTTGCCATGAACAATGTGGGTTTTATTTTTAAATTAAATACTTCCAAGTTTCTTGCTGCAAGCAAATGTTTAATTTTCGGATTTCAAATGGCAGCAGTTTGTGGTTTTTAGTGTGATGCCTTCTGGAAGTATCCTCATTATTTTCAATGTGCTTGGTAAACACTTAATTGTGGTTATTTAAAGTGCAACCAAAGCCAATGTGCGCTGGGGAATATAAATATCTTTATCTTCTGAAATGGCGACTGTCCAATTGGTGCAGAAACTGAGCCATTCAGTAACAGTGCATTAAATCTGTTGGAAACCCAAACTCTAATCTGGTGTATCCTCCTCAGGATTTCTGCTTGCATGCGTGCGCACACTCTTACCTGAGACCTGTTCTTTCTCAGCCATGTTGATTCTTTCTGGGATGCTTTGGATGGCTTTAATGAAACCTGATGATCTCAGGGAGCAAAGCAGTTGGGGTACATGTTGGTGAGGCAATATCTGGAGAACTGTTGGTGTCTGAATATCTTTGGTTACAAGGGTTTGTATTCAGATTTACAGAAGAGCTAAGACTAAGGTCAGGAGGTATGCCATCGCAAGGAACAAATATTTAGCACACTTCTAGTGTTTTATAAATATACTGTCAGGTAGAACTTTTCTGAGTACCTTGCATACTGACTATTCCATACTTTCTTGCTCCATTAGTAGGGCTTGCAGTTCATCTTGGACGATAAGCTAGATCGGGTCCAGATTTTGATAGCCACAACCTGACAGATTTCAGAGTAGTAGCCGTGTTAGTGTGTATCCACAAAAAGAATAGGAGTACTTGTGGCACCTTAGAGACTAACAAATTTATTGTAGCATAAGCTTTTGTGGGCTACAGCTCACTTCATCGGATGCATGTAGTGGAAAATACAGAAGATATATATATATATATATACACACACACACACACACAGGGAACATGAAACAATGGGTGTTACCATACACATTATAAGGAGAGTGATCAGTTAAGGTGAGCTGTTGTCAGCAGGAGAGAAAAATAACTGTTTGTAGTGGTTATGAAAATGGCCCATTTCCAGCACTTGACAAGGAGATATAAGGAACTGTGGTGGGGGGGGGGGGGAGATAAGCATGTCTCTCTAGTTGAGTTGAAATAGTTTTATTACAACCATAATCTACATACGATGCTGACTTGTTCCTATTGGCTACTTAACCTCATGTGGAGGAGAGGGTGCCAACCATTCTTAAACATGCAGATGTTCGCTCCATCTTCAAGGTCTGAATCCCTCTCTTTTGATGTTGTTGTGTAAGATGGGAGTCAATTAGTGGTGATGACATGCTGTCATCCCTTAGGGATTTGACATAAACCATCTTTTGAGGGCTGATCTGAGATCCCCTGTTGCTCCATGTAGTAGAGGCCCATTGGTGAAATTACTTCCAAATATAAGATAGAGTATCTGATGTTTCCTCATTTATGCCCCTTGCTTGTTGAGGAGACTTGCTTCCAGGCAGTGAGGTGGTTTAAGAACTTGGGTGTCACTTTCACTCAGTCCTTGTCATAGAAGGTTGTGGGTTGGATGTAGTATACAAGTGGGTTTTACTGGAGCGACTTGTGCAGGAAGATCCTTGTTTATCCTGAGATGACCTTGCAAGACATCTGATTATTTATGTCTACAGTACCCCAACGTGTGCTGTGTGCCTCCTAGAAATACGTGAAAAGACAAGTTCACTCTCTTAAAAATGCCCCAATCTAATAAAATAAAAATGACAGGGTGAAAGGGGTGAGGAAGGACCAAGATAAAGATCATGCGGTGACTTAATTCTGACATGTGAACATGTTGAATTCCTTCCATAATGGGGTATTTTTTGTGTGTGTTAACTTGCAGAGATGCAGGATTTGAGGAAGGATTAACATGGTGGTAGTTTACACAAATGAGTCTTGGTGTTACTGTAAGCACTTGGGTACTGGGAGGGGTGGAAGCATATAAGTACAGAAGAACCTCAGAGTTACAAAACACTAGAGTTATGAAATGACCAGTCAACCACACACCTCATTTGGAACCAGAAGATGCAGTCAGGCAGCAGCAGAAACCAAAAAAGAAAGCAAATTCAGTACAGTACTGTGTTAAACATGCACTACTAAAAAATAAAGGGAAAGCAGCATTTTTCTTCTTCATAGGAAAGTTTCATAGCTGTATTAAGTCAATGTTCACTTGTAAACTTTTGAAAGAATAATCATAAAGTTTTATTCAGTTACGAACCACCTCCATTCCCGTGGTGTTAGTAACTCTGAGATTCTACTGTACCTAGCTTCTAAAAGAGATTACCACCTGTCAGCAGGGCTTCTCCATTGCTGCTGCCTCCTGAACAAACTGCTGTGCATTTTCTAGGGTTGGCATGGGGGTAGCTACACATGCAAAAAAAACAAAAAAAGTAAGAGGGGTAAATCCTAACCCACTGGGTTGAGGCAAAATTCATTAATGTGAGGCACTCGGTTACTAAAGCAGTGAGCAATATAGACCAACATGTCAATAAACAAACATTTTTAATACAATCAAGTTCATCTCCATATTTATCGTCTATCCCTAATTGTCCTATAATGGACACCTGTGAATTCTTACACATTTCACATTTTATGAGAGGGATTCTTTTATTAGAACACAGACATTTTATTCAGTGGCTCAAATGTTCAGAGATCACTTTTAACCTAAGTTAATATTAAATGTTTAATCATGAAACATGGAGACAATTTCCCTTTAAATATCGCTGGATTCCAAGTGTCACTTTTTCCCTTCATTTCATGTCTTAGGAACAAGCCCAGGAATACAGTAATGACTTTGTGGAGAGAACTAGTTATTGTCGCTTCAGAAAAATATTTGTTCTGGTAATTTAATAAAGGGCACATAGAAATAATTGAGAATTTCTCTGATTTTTCACAGTTCATCTCAAAGCGGGCAGATCAGTTCCAAAAAGAGACTTTTATATGGCTTGTTGAAGTTACCTTTTGTATCAAATTTGTTCAATTTCACAAGTAAAAAGCTAGTTTTTCTATCAGCCCTGAAAATTCAGCCTCTCCTTGTACTTCACCATCAGTAACAAAGATTCTGCAGGTCAAATAACACTTTTGCCTCTTTGTAACACTGTTGGTTCCATTGGGTACTATGGGTGTAATAGAAGACAGAACATGGTCCTGCAATTGACAGTTCACAGTTCTAGTCTGTACATCAGCAACAGAACAGGATCAAGCTATTCTATGTTGACTCTGCAGGTCTAACAGTAATAACTTATTTTTGACACTTGAGTGACACACACAGCAGATCTGTAGCATAAGAAGGTGCCATTTTTACGTAATTTCTTTTTGGAACAGGAATACATTTTAAGGCTCTAGTAATCAAAATACAACCGCTTGTAGGCAAGTAACTTCCCACAAAACTTTTGGATTCCACTCCACCCCCCACCCCACCCAATTGAGAAATGGAGCCTAGATGTTCTGGCGAAGGATGAATAGGAAATGCTTGTGGGCAGTCATGACATTTTAATTATTTTCTTCTAGCTCTCTTTCTGCCAACAGATAAGGAGGAATGGAGGGACTCAGAGGTGGTGTGGGGATGTGAAGCTTACTCGAGGTTTGGCTACCAATCTAGTTATTAGAAAGAAAATCAGAAATCCTTCCCCCTCAACCTTTTTCACTTTCCCCTCTCTGTCCCCCCCATCCCAAACACATGCGTTCAACTAAATCCCTGTGGATGATCTAATATGGAGGGTGGAAAAAAATCTAAAAATCATTGACTTGTATGCCTTTATAATCTGTGGGAAAAGGTTTTCTCACCTATGATTCATTCTATACTAACCTTAGGATTGCTGTAAAAATCGGGGTCCAGTGGCCTTCCATAAATATCTTCTATTTTAAACTTACCCCAAAACAAGGGCTATGTTCACTACTGGCCCTGTGAGTTAAATACAAAGGGCCTGTTACTACTCTGCCTTGTAAAATCAGCTCCTGCGCTTGCACATGTGCTGAAGTTTCCTAGGCATTCAGCGATTCATGCCTGTGTGTCTCAGAGCAGAATTGTATGATTATTTTTCAGTGCCTGTAGAAGTAAATCAGGGCAAACATCTTCTTTTAAAATACACCTCTACCCTGATATAACTTGACCTGATATAACATGAATTCAGATATAACGCGGTAAAGCAGCGCTCCGGGCGGGGATGCGCACTCCGGTGGATCAAAGCAAGTTTGATATAACGCGGTTTCACCTATAATGCGGTAAGATTTTTTGGCTCCCGAAGACAGCGTTATATCGAGGTAGAGGTGTAGTTTATTTTAACCCGAGAGAGAAATGTGCTCTTCTGGCACTAAATCTGTAAACTGTCTTGTGAACTTCACCTTGGGGAAATAATGCAAGTTCAGAATATCTCCTACCAGAATCTAACATATGTGGTCCAAGTCCCATCGAAATATCCGGCTATTTAAAATACACACAGCTCAAAGCAGTACTGCAAAGTCCTGCCAAATGAATGTAAGACAGATATTGCTAAGAGTTTTATGAACTTTAGGGAGGGAGTTAACTCTTTCATTACACATAGGCAGTTATACTTGGCCCATCATAAGCAATAGGGTCGCATCTCTGGGCGACAACTTGTGGGAAATTTGAATGTAATAATAATACACAACTCGTACATAGCACTTTTTATCAGTAGATGTCAAAGCGCTTTACGAAGGAGGTCAAAGTCATTATCCCCATTTTACATGGGGGAAACTGAGGCACAGAGGGGCTAAGTAACTTGCCCAAGGCCACTCAGCACACAGTGGCAGAGCTGGGAATAGCACCCAGGTCTCTTTCCACTAGCTCACACTGCCAAGTGGCTAGATGGCCAGCGTATAGCTGGGTTAAAAGAGTGGGGATTATTTTTGTCCTTGTTTTCTTAAAGAAATCTCTCATTAGTCTAGAGCAGGGTTCTCAAACTTCATTGCACCGCGACCCCCTTCTGACAACAAAAATTACAATACGACTCCAGGAGGGGGGACTGAAGTCTGAGCCCAGCCAAGCCCCGCTGCCGTGGGGGTGGGAGGGCAAAGCCAAAGGGCTTCAGCCCTGGGTGGGGGGCCTGTAACCTGAGCCCCACCGCCCAGGGCTGAAGCCTTCAGGCTTTGGCTTCAGCCCCGGGCGGTCGGGCTTGGGTTTCAGCTTCAGTCCCAGGCAGTGGGACTCCAGCCGTGGGCCCCAGCAAGTCTAACACCAGCCCTGGTGACCCCATTAAAATGGGGTTGCGACCCACTTTGAGGTCCCATCCCACAGTTTGAGAACTGCTGGTCTAGGGTCTGAGTGAGAAACTTGTCGTTTCTTCTTATTTGTATGTGCCATTAAATTGTCCTCATCAGATTCCTGATTTTTCCCCCCCTCAAATTTCACCTGTGTTGGCAGAGAGTGTGTGTGTGAGAGAGAGAGAGCAAGAGAGAGAGAGAGAGTTTTCATAGCAAATGCAAGTACTTTGGAAGATTTGATGGAAAAGAATTAACAAATCATTCAGCATCATTAAAATTCCTATCACTGGCAGTGACATCTGTTGACAAAGGCAAGCATAGGACTGAAATTAAAATCACTCCCCATTTTAAATTGTCGCTTTACGGGATCATTTCTACAGCGCTGTTTATGAGACTCATCAGATTAAACCTTTTCAAAACTTGGTATATCATGGCCACAACAATAAAATCTACTAAATCTGAGGTCTGCTTTGAAAAAAGCCTGGTTGGAGGGTCTAACATCATGTTGAATTGCGGTGCAATCCACTTACATACTGCAGCACAATTGTGTAATAGATACTAGATTTTGTTAATCTTTGGACAGTCGTTCATATACAGATACTTGCTATGGAGTACCTCCTTTGAGTTTGGCTTTGAGCTATCATTTGCTATTATCTTCCTATTCAGTATAGAAACAAATAAAATATTTACCCATGCCAAGTTCTTGGAAGTGACTTGATTTCTCAATTTGCATTGCAGTGGAGGATTGATGACAAACCAGTAAAAATTGACAAGTGGGATGGATCAGCTGTGAAAAATTCTTTGGATGATTCTGCCAAAAAGGTATATTCTGACTGATTGACTGTGCTAGCCTCCCGATGGGCCTTTTGAAATCACTGCAGGTGGGATCCACAAAGGTACTTAGGTGCCTAAGTTCCATTTTTAGGCACTATTGTGGGGCACAATAGATGCCTCTAGCCCAGTAGATGCCTAAACTCACTTGGCATCTAAGTTTTTTCCCTCTGGGCATGTTCACTGCCGCTTCACTCTAGGCACCTGGGCGGCAGTTTCCTTCCTGAACATATGCACTACTGCTTTCTGGTAGGTATTTGGAGGCTTATCCCCACCTCAGCCCCAAAGCCCTTCACAAACCAGGAAAGACAGGTGTTCGGTCCCCTAAGTCATGTGCGAGGGCCCAATCCTGTTGGCACCCTCTGAGCACACCTTCCCGATCGAACTTACCCGAGGTGCCCACACAAAACAGCCAGGGGCGGAAAGACCTCCCTTATAACCTTGAGCCTAGCGGAAAGGGTACTCACCCAGGGTGTGGGGGACCCCCAGTTCAAGTCGTCCCACCACCCTTTGTACAGGGAGCAGCCACCTCTCAGGTGAGTGCCCCAGCTACCAGGCTATGGGATAGTCTGTTGTGATTTCCTCAGTGTCTCCTCCTGCAGTTGTTCCACTTGAATTAAGCAATGGAATACTTCAGTATTAATTGGGCCAGTGACCGAATTAGAATGCCTGTGTAGCCTAGTAGTTATGGCACGCACCGGAGAGGTGGCAGATCCCTGTTCAAATCCCATTTTCCCCTCAGGAGGAGGAAGGACGTGGTCCAGGAGTCTCCCCTATCCTGTGGGAGTACCCTAGCCACAAGGCTAATGGGTTGTATGTAATGGCCCTCCCCTCCTTGGCCATTTTGTTTCAAGTCCTGCACACAATTTACACCCATCTTCTCCTGGTTTGTGAATCACAAGCAGAGCTGGGCGCCTCCCTGCAGCCCAGACTTAGGAGCCTGTGTCTGTGAGTGGAGCAGGGCTTAGCACCTCCTCCTTCCCCTCTGATTTGGCATAGAATCATAGAATATCAGGGTTGGAAGGGACCTCAGAAGGTCATCTAGTCCAACCCCGTGCTCAAAGCAGGACCAATTCCCAAGTAGGCTGATTTAGGTGGCTCTGCACCTAGCAGGCTGGCTTTGGTGGATCGCCTTTCTTAGGCGCCTGACTCTCCCTGTTCATCATATAGGGAGCCTAGGTGCCTAATGCAGCTTGGGGGGGTTGCACTGTTGCTCCTGTGATTTTTCTAGGTGCCCTCAGTGTTGCAACACTTGAGTCCCTTTACGGATTCCACCTTGGAGCCTCGCTCTGTACAGAACTCTCATGAAAGTCAATGACAGATCTGTATGCAGACATTTCCAGGATCAGACTCCTATTGAGTGTCTCCTCCTGGAGCTGTGGATGACTCAGAAATCACTTGCTTCCAACTCAATTACTATGTCATTTTGCATTAATAACATTGGTTAGTTAGCCTTAAAATGGCTTTTACTCGTGTCAGTGAAAAGTTTAAAGAACATATGTACATTTAAAGACTATTTAAATTAGATATAAAAAATATCGAAAGTTGCAGCATTCTCACCACGTTTATTGCTGTTTCTGTGACACTCCTGGATTTGAATGGGTTTTCCCCTTTCTGATGCTTTAATTAAAATCATCTGGATTATGCAGTTAAAGTTAGTGCATCTATAGAGAATTAATTTAAGTCGTCTTTGGAAGCCATCTGTAAACTGGGCTCTTTGCTTTCCCATCAGGTTCTCCTGGAAAAGTACAAGTATGTGGAGAATTTCTGTTTGATCGATGGCCGCCTCATCATCTGCACAGTCTCCTGTCTCTTTGCCGTCGTGGCTTTGATTTGGGATTATCTGCATCCCTTTCCTGAATCTAAACCTGTTCTCGCTTTCTGTGTGGTATCATATCCTTTCCTGTGTGCTGCAGGTTTAAGACATGTGTTTGTCTTCCCCCAACAAGTAAAAAAAAAAAAATCCATAGTTGTCTTTCCCTCTTTTAGCAGACATAGAAGTACAATTGATAGGTCCTGTCTGAATTTCACACACAGTGGGACTTACCGGGTTTCTACTTCAGTATTTTATTTTAACATACGAGGCCTCTTCCACTTTATTTTAGTGTAAGAAACTTGTATTTCTGTAGACAGACTCCTATAGCACCATCTGCTTCCTGTGATACTACAGATCAGGTGCTGGGAGTGAAATGGCAAGCAGGAGCAATTGTCAGAGGCTGCCATCAAGGAATAACAGGCAGCATAAAAATTGGGAAGAGGACAGCAGTATAAATGTAAGTTACATTTAGAGACCAGTTAGTAAATCTGAAGTATTGAGTAACTTTTACCATTCTGGTTTTTTTCAGCCACATACTCTGCCATTCTGAATACTGACTTTGTTTCTGCTGTTTGGCTATAGGAGTTAGTTAGTGCAGATAATTCAGGATACCATGTCCAGAGTGATGGCTAAAGGGTGCAACATTTCTCTGTATATACAGCAATCTCTCTGAATTGTGCAGATAGTCTCAGGGGGGCAGTGTGGGCTGGTAAACTGAGCACAAAGCTGAGAGCCAGGAGTTTTGGGCTTCTAACCCCTACTATTCCACTGACCT